CACTTCCGGTTATACCGGAAGTCGGTCTCAACTTTCTTATTTTAAATGGAAAGGTATATCTTTTACTGCGTTTCTTTTCATTTCAGCTTTCCCTATACCTAAATTTAGCCGTTTTTGAAATATTTGGAGTTTTTCAAATATTTTTGGATCTGCACCTACCATTTTAAAAATCGGTGACTCTGCCATTTTTTAAGATTTTGAATTCGTTTTTTTGGCGTTTGAAAGATAAAGCTTCGGTACTTTTTCTGTCGTTTTCAAACTTTGAAAAAAAAAATAACATCCAAAAATTTTAAGGTTACTTTTGTAATAATTTAAATACTCATAGCTCAATTTTTTCAAATGAAATACCCCAATTTTTATTTTACTAAATAGAAGAAAATTTAATTGTGCATTGATCTGTATTAACATTCCCTATACCTAAACTTAATAATTTTCAAGTTATGGACTTTTTGTTAAGACTACAAAAAATTTATTACTATCCACACCCGTTTTCACATCGTTTGCTGTGGAAATCAAAAATTTCAAAATTTCCTCTAAACAAACGTCAACAGTAAATTACTATTTGACAAATAGTGCCAAAATATGAAGAATCAAAGTTATGCAAACTTAATTATTATTGATAGGTTCTACCATGCGATCATTATTTAAATCTAACATGTGAAAAAAAAATATTTTTGTTTGATGAACGACAACATAATTTTGTTACACTCTCCATAAATACAAAATAAATTAATTAAATCCAAGTTTGAGTAGCTTTGACTTTCCATATTTTGGCACTATTTGTCAAATAATAAGTCACTGTCGACGTTTATTGAGAAACAATTTTAACATTTTTGATTTCCATAGCAAACTATACGAAAACGTAATAGATTTTCGACAATCTTAACAAAAAGTCACCATAACTTAAAAATTATTAAATTTAGTTATAGGGAATGTTAATACAGATCGATGCAGAATTAAATTCTCTTCCATTTAGTAAAATAAAAATTGGGGTATTTTATTTGGAAAAATTGAGTTATGGGTATTTGAATTATTACAAAAGTAACCTTAAAATTTTATGGTTTGTTAATTTTTTTGTTCAAAATTTGAAAACACTTGAAGACATCTAAACTTTCTCTTTCAAACGCCAAAAAACGAATTCAAAATTTAAAAAAATAGCAGAGTTACCGATTTTTAAAGGGGAAGGTGCAGATCCAAAAAAATTTGAAAAACTCCAAATATTTCAAAAACGGCTAAATTTAGGTATAGGGAAAGCTAATGAAAACTTTCTTAAAATAACCAGACTAACCCAAAAACGCAGTAAAAAATATACCTTTCCATTTAAAATAAGAAAGTTGAGACCGACTTCCGGTATAACCGGAAGTGTCGTCATTTTAAAAATATTCTCATTTAATGCATTATGGCTATGTACCAATTTTCAAACAAATATGATTATTCGAACTCACAATACTTTTAATGTGGGCTTTAGACGAAACACCCTGTATACCAAATATGCATCGATATGCAAAATTTTGAACAATAAAAAGTCAAACGTTTTTTGCTTAAAGTATTTATTTTTTGAAAAAACTAATTGATGAATTATAAAGTTCTATAAAGATGTGATGTTTGATCAAAAATATATTTTTTCGAAATTTTTGTTATTTTGTTTTTGAGTTTTACAAAAATATTATTTTTTTTAAATGGTAACCTACCAAAAAAGAACATTTTTTTCATGAAGGTCATGATCTAAAGGATAACAACTATCTACTTTGTATTAAATTATTTCTTTACATATATCGCAATTTAGACAACAAAAATCGAATAACTCAAAAACAAAAAACAATTTTGTTCTTAAAATAAGATCATTTTTTATATTACTTTAATTTATATTATTATTTTTTGGAAACAAATGATTAAAAAAAACCGCTTGGTTCAATACTTTATATTCACCCAGTATAAAACGAATTTAAAAAGGAAACACTCAGCAGGGTACTAATTTTTTGAGTTTGGCTTACGAATTACCGGTTGTTTTCTCTTTAAAATATTTTGCAATCGGATCATTTTTCATAAACTGTCCAATTTTTAACTTGAACTGAAATTTTTAATCGGAAATTAGTGATTTGAAGAAAATATGCACAAATATGCAATATTTACTAAAATATGCTCCAAGTTGCCAAAATATGTAAAATTTGCATTTTTTATTTGGCTTATTTTAATCAAAAAACATTAGATATCAGTGACAAAACACGAATGTAGCCAGAGCTAATAAATTCTACCTTTGAAGAGAAAATTTCAAGTCACACAAATTAAACGTTAAGACAAAATATTAATGCGAATCCTACTGACTGCGCCAATAAGTTTCTAAAAAACAAGAATTAGTTTTGTAAAAAATGTTGCTGCCAGCAAAAGAATATAATAAACTACTAAATTAGGTATTAATATAACAAACAAAGCCAACCCTATCATTTTCTATATCATCTATTAAAATTTCGTATTAAAAATAGGTATAAATAAAGTGCTACAGCGTTTAAACAAACAATTCGTGGTGTTATTTTAGTCATGTATAGTAAAAATTTGAATAATGTTTATTTTATATTCTATCTTTATTATTCCTAGAACTCTTCTCAAGAAAATCAACAAAGAGTTAGACAATATTTAACATGAAAAAAGACAGCAAAAATGCACTTCAACTGTTCCAAAATAAGTGTCCGATTTATGAATTTTATTTTTGCACGACGCAGAGTAGAAATCAACTTTTCTTAGGACAAAACTGTGACAGAAGTCAATTTTTTTCAGGAGGGACAAAAATGAGTCATTTTCATTCATTGATTGGCTTATTGTTAATAATTTTTTTTTATTGTTATCATGATGTAGCATCAAAAAATGCTACCTTTATGCTAATTTTAAACTTTATTAAAGGATTACAGCCAATTTTTTAATTCACGTCGTGCAAAAAATAGTATATATACCATTAGAGAGAATTGCTATTATTCCTTTAGTGCTAAACTGCTTCTCAGGAACCCTTTACGTATTTATAAGTAGTGTAAATAGAAGGATGCTGGTTCCACCCCCCACTACTAATTTATAAATGTCTTAAATCGCATGCGTGATCATTTTGACCGATAAGATAAACAGATATCCGTTAGATAAAAACAGGTAATGAACAGGTAATAAACAGATAAAAAGTGGAAAAAACAGGAATTAAACGGGTAAAAACCGGTAATATCTGTTTATTTTGTTGGTCAAAATGATCACGCATGGGCACCAAGACATTTATAAATTAGTAGTGAGGGGTGGGGCCAGAATCCCTCCATTTATACTACTGGTATAATATACCATTATCTAGTGTTGGGCATATTTCAATAATCGAATGAATCGAAATAATCGTCTTAATTAATCGAATGATCTATTATTCTCGAGTGCGTCTACAAAGATTGAAAAAAAAAATAAATGACCCATTGTAATAATGGTTACTAAACTTCTAATCTTTTTCTTGCTGTCAAATGTCACTTTACAAATTTAAATTAATTTGACCGTTATCGATAGAATAACAATCGTGGAGATAATATAATTAAAACAAAATAATACTCATCCCAAAAATATTAGAAAAAACTGCTTATCTGTTTGTAGTGATTAAAAAAATATTGAAACGAATTATAAAGCGTTTCAAAATGATTGACATTGACATTACTACTGTAAACATTCTTTAAATCGCAATATGACACAAAAATGACATTTCAGTTGAATTCTGTATGGAAAAATAACATAACGTCTTGGCCAAAAAAAATGTAGAAGAAACGTGGAACAAAAAGGAAATAAAAGAGCACATCACAAAAATCACTTAAAAACGATAAATGCCACAAATTGTAAAAATGGCATATCTTCAACCAGTGGATGCAAAAGTACAAAAATAAACAATCTGAGACCCACAAAGTAAAAATGTTGCCACCTTAAATTTGAATTTCAATGACCTACTGAGAAGTCAATTATTTTGAAACACTCTATATGTATCTATGACTATTCTATGCTATGCTAGTTAGTTAAAAAAAATAATTTTTAAATCAAATTTTCAAAGACGTGTTTTTATTTCTGGCACTAACACTAAAGTTTTTTTCTTTTAATATTGTCTTCAAAAAAATGTGAACTAAAACGTTGTGATTGTCAACAGTTATTATTTTTTTATTATAACCTAAACATACTACCCCATAAATTTGACAACGAACTAAATTTGAACATAATGTAATCATAGGTAATAATGTATGTTTAAACCTGACAAAGTGTAGATAGTACATGAAACGTTGTCAAAACCGATTACATTTTTAATTTTATATACTATATTTTATACAGTACGTCCTCGGATTGACTTTACAAGAGAAAAAAATATTTTACGCCAGAACTGTAAAGAAAAAACATTTTTTGCTTTACCTGAAACGAGCAAATCTGTAATTACAACAACAATTATTCTAACTCAGTAGAAAGAAAAGTTCATTTTTCTCTTGATTTTGAACTTTATAAAATAATTTTTCTCTGCTTTTTAAGTGCTATCACATTGGCGGTTTTATTATTTTGACAAATGAGTTTACGCAAGTTAAATAACAAAAATGCTTGTTAAAAGCATAATTTTATAAATAGCAACTCAAAGTTGCATTAAGACAAAAACCAGTCATTTTTAACAAGAAATATCATTATTTAATTAATAAATTAATTTTCAAAGTGACATAGTTGTCAAATAAATAAGACTGCCAATGTGATAGGACTTAAAAAGCAGAGAAAAATTATTCGAATTTGAAAATCAAGAAAAAAAAACTTTTCTTGTTTTTGCAATTTTGGCGTAAAATCAAAGATAAAAAAATTCCTCTTGTAAACCCAATCCGGGGACATGGTGTATACATACTAGTCATACTAGTAGCAAATTCTATTAATACCTATCAATAATTTTAATAAAATTGTACTTATCAGAATTTGTTTGTATTATGACAACAGTTACTGATAATTTTATGTTTTCACTCCAGTAATTGCGATATCGACTCCTTAGAAGGTCATAAAATGATTCTCCTTTTACTTATACTAACAATCATAACTGGGATATATTTCCTAAACTTAAATTACCAATATTGGAAAAAACGTGGAGTGCCAGGACCCAAACCAAAATTTTTCGTGGGTAACATGCTAGAAAATTTCCTTGTAAAAAAATCACCAGCGGAGGTATTTGCTGACATTTACAGGTAAAATTTGTAAAACTTAACACTTGAATAATAAAAAAATTACAGACAATATGAGAACGCACCCCTTGTTGGAATTTTTCGCGGATTTAGTCCAGCTCTCCTAATCCGAGACCCTGAACTAATCAGAGATATAACAGTAAAATCATTTCAACAATTCCACGATAACGATCTTTTCCTAGATAAAGACGTCGATCCTCTTTTAGGACGAAATCCCTTCTTTGCGAAAGGGGACGAATGGAAAACTCATCGCACGGTGGCAACACCAGGCTTCACAAGCGGAAAAGTACGAGATTTTTTACATTATTCCCTAATTTATCAAAAATAAATTCAGATGAAAACAATTTATCCGTTACTAGAACACGTGAGTCAAGAATTTATCAAATATGTTGAAAAAGTTACAAAAAATGGGGCCTGTCATGTCAAGAATGTTTGTATGCGATTCACTTTAAACAACGTAGGAAGTTGTGCTTTCGGAATTGAAGCCAAATGTTTCGAAGAAGAAAATAATGAGTTTAAACAGATCGCTGACCGGTTTTTTGCACCAGAAGATTGGCAAAACATCAAAGTATTTATAATTTCCATTTTGCCATTCTTGGCAAAACTGATTTCAATCAAGTAAGTTGCTTCTTTGTGATACTTTCAATAAAAATCAATTAGGTTTACACCCAAGGATGTTGAAGAAAAATTGACAAATATCGTGGTTCAAATTTTAAAATACCGCGAGGACAACAATATTGTCAGAAACGACTTTTTGCAAATCCTCCACCAAATCAAGAAGAAGGATCCCAACTTTACAAATGTTGATATAACAGCACATGCGGCTGGTTTCTTCGGCGACGGTTACGAAACCAGTTCCATAGTCATGCACTTTATATTATATGCACTTGCCTCAAATCCTCAAACTCAATCCAAATTGCGTGAAGAAGTGACGAAAGCTTTTGAGGAGAACCACGACTCGTTGCCGTATGAAGAGTTACAAAAGTTGCAATATTTAGATGCTGTTTTTAACGGTAAGTTTTTTAACAATAAATAAGTTGTTAATTGTGTAATTAGAGGCCCTTCGACTATATCCCCCTTTGGGTGCTCTAATCAAAGTCTGTACCAAACCCTACACCTACACTCCGAAAAATGGTGAAAAACCATTCGTTATCGAACCTGAAACACGTGTTATTTTGCCATTGATTGCACTTCATCGTGACCCCAAATATTTCGAAGAGCCGGATTCGTTTAAACCTGAGCGGTTTTTGGTTAAGGAAAACATCACGAAATATACGTTTATGCCCTTCGGGGAAGGGCCAAGGGCTTGTTTAGGTATGCATAAGGTGAAATGTATTTTCAGTTAGCTTTGAGTTATTTTAGGACAAAGATTTGGGACACTGCAAGTTAAAGTGGGAGTTGCCTATGTTATTAAAAATTTTGAAATTTCAGTAAATGAGAGAACTAAACTGCCGTTGGAATTTGAACCAACGTATTTTTTGGTGTTACCAAAAGACCCCATTTGGCTAGATTTTAAAAAAATTGTGTAATTATTATGATTGTCAACAATAAGATAAAAGAAAAAGACATGAGTATAAAGTGTTTTATTTATTATAATTCTTTGTGTTTTACAAACAATAGGTCTATATACAAATGCCGAAATCTATTCAAACTTATTCTGTTCATATAGTCGTACGTTCTTGTTTTCCGGTTGAGAAATTCCCAAACTCTGACAAGGTTACGAAAGCGTTCCGGATTTGTAGTACAGCTAATTCAAGGCGTTGGGTTAAATCGTGAACTGAATTCAGTTATAACAATAGATACAAAACGAAAATAAGATGCAATAAAATTTATATTAAATAATAACAAAAACATCAAACATTTTGCTCTCTTTTAATAGACATTAAGTGTAGGGACTTTTATAAATGTTTTAAAATTAATAGATTCTTTGTTAAAAATAGACAAGAAACGCATTAATAATATCAAGCAATTAAAAAAAATATCTAGTAAAAACTCCCAAAATATAATTACAATTAAAAACTAATAATTAAGTTGCAAGTACATAGTTTCAAAATGTACCCTTATTCAAATTTATAATACAGAATGCTAGTTTTAATGCAATTTTTAAACGAGTAAATTTCGTTGGCTGTAAATTTGTCACTAATTTTTTTTTCTAATTTTACCACAAATATATTTTCTTTAAACTCCTTGTTTTCAATATTAAAAATATTAAGGCAAAATGCAACTCAAAAACTTGGAAATCCAAAATTAATAAAAACTCAAGAAATCAAGTAAATGCAAACCAAGAATTCAGAGAAATTCAAACTTAATCATTTCAAAATTAAAAATCTCAAACGCAAAACTAAACTTTAAAATCTGTAAAATTTAAAAAGACAAGTTTAATAATCCTAAAAACGAAAATAAAATTAAATAAACTAAAATGCGTAGCTGAATTTAGGAAGATTCATCCGATCTACAAAAATTTAAAAAAATAAAATTTTGTTATTTTGTCTTAAAAAAAATTAATTACTAAAAAAAACAAATACAAATTGAATTATTTTAAGAAATACAACAAACTCTGTAGTTTTCAGATCTTTGTGTACTATTTTCCAGTTTCTTTGTTGTTTCGGTATATTTGTTTTCATTGTTTCTTTTATGTTTTAACATTTTTTATTTATGTTTACATTTTTTGTATTGACATAATTTTTTAAAATTTCAGTTTGTTTAAGTTTATTGAACTTTTCATCAAAAATTTAATTGTAATTTCTCGTTTATTTAAGTTTCAAAACATACCCTTAATCAAATTTATAATACAGAATACTGCTTTTAATACAATTTTTAAATGAGTAAATTTCGTTGGCTGTAAATTTGTCACTAATTTTTTTTCTAATTTTACCACAAATAAAAAGATATTTTAAAACTCCATGTTTTCAATATTAACAGTTATTTATTCAACGAGTTTGAGTGTAAATCGGACGCTTTATTTCACGAAGAGGAATATAGCGTCCGATTTACACAAAGAGGAGATGAATACATTTTATTCTTCGAATTAGACTCAAAAAGGCTTAAAATTGCTTTAAATCTGTTCAAAAAAAATCTGAGGTTTCGTATTGAGAAATACCAACCAGTTGTCAAAACTACCTTACATGAGAAAAAAAACAGTAAATTTTGACAGTGTCGAAGAATAAAAATATTAAAGCAAAAAGCAACTCAAAAACTTGGAAGTTCAAAATTAATAAAAACTCAAGAAATCAAGTAAATGCAAACCAAGAATCTAGAGGAATTCAAACTTGAACATTTCAAAATTATAAATCTGAAACGCAAAACTAAACTACAAAATCTGTTAAATTAAAAAAAGGCAAATTTAAAAATCCTAAAACCCGAAATAAAAATAGATACACTAAAATGCGTAACCAAATTTTTTTGGATACATTCATCTGATACACAAAAATTAAAAAAATAAAATATAGTTTTGTCTTGAAAGGAAATTTTATGCCTTAAATGCGTAACCGATTTTTTTTGGATACATTCATCTGATATACAAAAATAAAAAAAAATAAAAATATTGTTATTGAGTCTTAAAAAAGAAAATTTAAAAAATCATATACAAATTAAAATATTTCAAAACTTAAATTTAAAACCTGATAAATACAAATTTAATTCTAAAAATTAATTCAGGTAAAGGATAATTTCAAAATTTTAAAGTATGCAAAGTTTTCAGATCTTTGTGTATTATTTTCCAGTTTCTTTGTTATTTTAGCACATCTGTTTTGTTTGTTTTTTAATATTTCCACATTTTTAATTTATGTTTATGTTTTTTATACTAACATGATTTTTTAAATTTTCAGTTTGTACAGTCTTTCTTTAAATTCACTAAAATTTTTATCAAAAATTTAATTGTAATTTTTCATTTTTTTGAATTCAGGTATTTTAGACTTCAAAATTTGTGTTGTTTTTAGTTGCCAGATATTTAAGTTTCGGTTTTATTAAAAATTTTTGGGCCCCCTGTTTAAATTTATCCTAATTTTATTTAAAGAGTTTATAGTATTTGGTGGTCAATAAGTCAATTTCTGTTAAATTGACTGGTAAACCAAACTCTTTGTCTGCAGCCTAAACAAATACATTGTTTACACATATGTTTGTGTTTAATGTATTTAATATTAATTAATACTGTTGTGTATCTAATTCCGAGGCAAACATGGATTTAGTAAATTTGTTAAAATATTCGATGTTTACACTCGGCCATAAGTTGTTATCTCTTGCTGCATGCCAGCAACTGTCCGTTTACGATTTAACTCCGTCACAGTGCTGATGAACTCTATTATAATAATATTGTTTACACCGCTTTTATATCTCCCCAAAGAGCCCACGGCTCGAAACAAAAGAGAATATTGAAATAATGAGTACTCATTTTCTTGTTTAAATTGAAAAAAAAGCAAGATTATGTATGTATTTCCCTTGTATTAATAATATTCTATGCTGAAAAGTGCTCAGTTCAAAGGCGAGCTGCGGATATTAGTTTGTGAATACTTTATACAATCTAACCACTTAGATCCACACCGGAGTTAAAAAGAAAAGCAGCCCCGGTGGCCGAAAAGAAATTGCTGTTGGTTTTAAGAGCCGCCTCATATCGATTATGAAAAGTCGACGAGCTGTTATTTGCAAGTCTTTACAAGTGAAATTCAAACAGCAAACCTCTGCTTTGATATGCATTTCAAAGGAATTCCATTCAGCCACATGACATTTTTGAGGTGATTGACAATCCGCGCTCAAATATCGTGAGAGTCTATTTATTGAAGTGAGTTAACTCGGCCATACAGCATAGTTTATTTTCGATAATTGAAAATTCACGGAATAAAATACGCCGATGCTTCAAATTTAACGTAACAAAGTATTTAATAGGAAATGCGATTTTGTTCCATCTTTGTTGCAAATCAATTAGTACGACTTCCGCGCTCGTTAGAAAGATTATAATCGACGTCGAAAGTGCACAGAATTTATTATTTTGCAAAACAACGTTTTGTCGTTCAATCAATTACAAAATAGGTGCTTGAAACGACAATAAAATGTACAAAATGGGCAAAAAATATATTATGTATACGAGTTCCATAAATAAATACGAAGAAAAATGATAAGATTTTTTACTCTTATTTAACAAATTCATGAAAAACGGTTTTGCTTTAAGATTTCGATACCTAAAACAGGCCTAAAGCAACAACTGGTTTCGTAGCGAAAGCCTCATTATTAAATTAGAAATGAAACTTGACTTTAAAGCCATAAGAGAATTACTGGTACTTTGTTAAACCTCTTGTTCATTAATAGCTGATGGTAATAGTTCAAAATGTCTGAATTGTAAAATAGCAATTACAAAATTTCGAAAAGATGAGTATTGATAAAACGTCAATTCCAGGTGCTTTCGCAGTCCCAAATCAAACAAAATTGATTGATAACGTAGCTATAAAAGATAAATCATCAAAAACCATTAGGTACTTAAGAGTTGTTCACAATTTATTGTATTTGAAAATGCGCAATTTACAATAATAAAATCCTTTATTTAATCTCAGAACAATTTAAAGACGTAATTATGAATTCTCCTGAAGACTATTAAACCCGCAACAGCAACTTTTCCTACACTTTAAGAAGCATTTCAAAATAACAACTCAAACATTAATATTCTTCGAAAGTAAAGACTTCTTATTAATTCAGTATTTTGTTTACGTACCTCAGGGCCCAACTTAAAATAATCGTTTCTGAATTTAATTATTTTAAGAGTAAATAATCTGAAATTTATTATGCAAACATTATATCTCTCGTAAATATATTTAAAGAAGCTGAAATACTGATTTTTAAATTGTTTGCTTCGTGTAAAGATGTATTGCTCAAATCTGCAAGCTCAAGATTTCTTAAACGAATTGTAGGGTAAGAGATTGTCCTATAAAAAGAATGGGCAGAGTCTTAAGCAAATAAATCAAGCGATTACAATTTGCAAGAATTCAATAGAAACGAATTTATCTTTTAAAATAGTAACGTAGACAATAAAATCTGTGGCGTAAATCTCAAACTCGTTCAGTTTTTCTTCGCTTTTAAATCTGAAAATAAATGCCATCTTAAAATTATTGCATAAAATTAAAATCCTAGGAAAAAATTATGTTGAACTTAAAAACCTAAGAAATTTAAAAACCTGGAAGCAGCCTCACTGAAAAGTCAAAAATCTTTTTTCAAAAAGTGCAAGTAAGAAACTTGAAAGCTAATACTCCTAAACTGAGAAACGTAAAAAAGTAGAACACTTCCAAACTGACAAAGATCCTAATTAAACCAAAAAACAATATTTACTTACAATTCTAAGAAATTTGAAGAGATTAAAAAAGCGAAATCAAAAAAGTATTAATAATCTAAAAAACTTAAATAGGTAAACCAAAATCAAAAAACTTAAAAAACCAAACAAAAATCTTTTACAATATTTAAGAAAATTATTCGTGCACTAGAATTCAAGAATTTATAAATCGTCAAACATCATCATATTTAAACTGCCAAAAATTTACAAATTTTCAATTTTCTAATCATTAACAGTTCTATCACGACGAAAA